CCGTTATTAAAGAAAAACGCTCCAAATATGCCAACAGTTTATTATGAGGGATTTTCTCGAAGCCTTTAGAAAAATCAGATATTATTGATATTCGCCTATAGTTTCCTAACAAGTTAATATCGCCACACTTAAAAATCAAAACGACCCTAGCAATCTGCATGGGTCAAGTTTAGAAGATTCACCCAAAATACATCAAAATATTGAATATGAACGTTAATGGTGCAACTAACAAGTCAGTAACATATTTCATTTCATTCATTTATTTATTTATTTGTACCTCACAAGCGCCCCAAGAGGGCATACATGAGGGGGGAAATTCAACAGTATACAAGGAAAACAGAACAGTGAAAATATGAACACACATCATGCAAAAATAACAATATAATGAAAACACGTGGAAAACATACATTTCAATTTACGCAGTATTGAGCACACGCATTTTTAAATTCGTCGACATTTGCTAAAGTTACAATGTTGGCTGGAAGTTTGTTCCAGTCGGAAATTGCCAACTGTAGAGGTGACGTCTGGAAAAGTTTAGTATGTGATGTTTGTAGTAATACCTTATGCTGATGGTCAAATCGAGGAAAAATACGGTGTGGCGGCTTTAATAGTTTAAGCTTGAGGAGTGGGTTATTATAATAGATGTTATGGACGAAGGTTAGCCTAGAAAGTTTTCTTCTGATAGAGAGGAGTGGCAAGTCGGCTTTTTCTTTCAGTTGAGATACGCTGGAGTGTCTAGAGTAATCTTTGTAAATAAATCTGCTTGCCCTATTCTGAATTGACTCTATTTGTTGAATAAGGTAGTCTTGACAAGGATTCCATATGATAGAGGCATACTCTAATTGAGACCGAACATATGACTTGTAAGCGAGTAAACGAACGTCCGGAGGTGCCAGATATAAATTTCGTCTTAGAAAACCTAATGACCTACTAGCCTTGCTAGCCACATAATTTACATGGTCCTGCCAGTGTAGGTTCTCGCTCAAAATAACTCCTAGATATTTGTACTTATTTACTTTCTCAATTGATAAATGTCCTATTGAGTAGTTGAAACTTACAGTGGATTTTTTTGTGGAGAAGCTCATAAATTTAGATTTTGAGGTATTGATGTTCATTTGCCAGCGGTCGCACCATAAAGAGAGGGCGTCTAAGTCATGCTGTAGTGAGAGACAGTCGGTCTGGTTTTTTACAGTTCTATAAATAACGCAGTCGTCTGCAAAGAGTCTGACTGTAGAGGAAATGCTAGTGGCAATATCATTAATATAGATAAGGAATAACAAGGGGCCCAAAACCGATCCCTGAGGAACTCCAGACTTCACATTAATACTAGAAGAAACATTACAATGAAAAGAAACTGCCTGTGTTCTGTTGGTCAAAAATTCCCGAATCCAGTTAATTAAAGAACTATCAATATTAAGACACTCGAGTTTTTTAAGTAGGCGTTTATGTGGCACGCGGTCGAACGCCTTAGAAAAATCAATAAAAATAGTGTCAGTTTGAAAGCGCGAATGTATGTTTGTGTGTAGATCTGTTAATAATTCAAAAAGTTGGGTTTCGCAAGACCGGTTCTTCTGAAAGCCATGCTGATTTATGAAAATGAAACCATTGTCTACAAGAAAGTTCATTATATGAGTGTACAGAACATGCTCAAGAATCTTGCATGGGACACTGGTGAGAGATATCGGTCGATAATTACAAAACAACGATTTACTACCAGATTTGTAAACTGGAGTGACGATTGCATGTTTCCAGTCATGCGGTATAATGCTCTGGTCTAAGGATTGTTGATAAAGCTGTGCAAGAAGAAGCCCGGCATATGGCTGTGTAAGTTTTAGTAGCTTGGAACTGATGCCGTCGGCACCAGGAGAAGACTGGAGGGGCAGGTTTTGTATTATATTGTTAATACCATCCGGGTCAATTTTAATCTTCGATAATAAAGAATGGTTGTGTGCCAAATCAAACTGGGGCAGCGGGTAAGACTCTTCGGTAAAAACATCTCCGAAGTACTCATTAAATTTGTTTGCACACTCCGTTGGTGACATTACATTTCCATGCTGGTCTAAGAAACAATTAGGAATTGTGTCTTTAGGTGGGCTAATTATTTTCCAAAATTTCTTGGGATTTTTTTGCATCAAGTTTTTTAGACCATTGCCGTAAAAGTTGGATTTTGCGACCTTGGTTTCACGTTTGCACAGCTTAGCCTGAGTATCGTACTGAGACCATAATTCGTCAGTATCCCGAGATTGTGCCTTTTTGAAGAGACGTCTTTTGGTGTTCAGCATTTTTTTCAGGGATTTCGTGAACCACGGCTTTTCCGATGCATCAGGTATAGTAATTTTTGGAACAAATGTAGCAAGTATGTCTTTAAGCTTATTTTTTATCCTTTGCCAATTCTCTTCTACTGACCTAGAAAAGAAATCGCAGTTAAATTCGCCAATAAAAGTTTCTAAAACACTGTTTATGCCATCAATGTTTGCCTTAGAGAAGTCGTGAATTTCCTTGGACTGTAAGGGAGCATTTCTTATAGATATACTGAAGTTAATCAAGACAGCCACGTGGTCACTGATCTTGTCAAGACACGTGACCTTTTTTAAATATTCTGGCACAGAAGTGAACAATAAATCTAAAATTGCATCGTCCCGAGTGGGTTTAAGTACTACTTGGGTCAGGCAAAATGATTGCGAGATGTTTAGAAAGGCGGATGTAAGCGAATTGTTGCGACATTCGTCTGACACATTAACAGTGGTCCATTCAATCCCGGGAAAGTTAAAGTCACCTCCAAGAAAAACAGGCAAGCTTGGATAACGAGAGGTAACATTTCCAATAGAGGTATACAGGTGATCAACGAAATCAGACAAAGAGTTCGGCGGTCGATAGCATGCACCTACTAAAATGAAAGAGGAAGCAACCTTTACACGCACCCAGATTATTTCAATGTTGTCATCCATTAGAATGGGAACAGCGGGCAAATTTCTTTTGACAGCAATAAGGACTCCACCGCCACGTGACTGTATCCTATCTTTTCTAAAAATCGCAAAGTCATGGTTGAGTACTAACTCATTATTCAGTATATTATCAGAAAGCCAAGTCTCCGTTCCTAACACGACGTCGGGGTTGCACATTGCAATTGTATCAGCGAGAGCATCTTGTTTAGATAGTATGCTCCGAAAGTTGGCAAGAAAAAAGGACAAATCATGAGACGTACTCTTTTTCTTTTTTAGTCAGTTTGTAATTCGGCTTGGAATAGACCGTTGCGACTCAACAACGGTGTCTGTTTGGGTATCGTACAAAAACACCTTGTCATTCATAAAAAGTTTATCAAACACTAGACGCACGCGTGATTGGGGACTACGATGCGTTTTTGCGTAATCCCAAAGCTTTCTGCGTGCTTCACGGATCAATGGCGAGTGGTCTTCCTCAATCCATACCTTAGGAGATTCTAGGTTTTTCAACTTGTGTGCGTTTTCTAGAATCGATTGCTTACTTTTGAAGCTAAGAAATCTTACAATGATGGGGCGGGGGAAGTTTGCGTTCTTTCTACCTGCCCGATGGGCTCTTTCAATTACACCTGCCTCTATATCTAAGTGTTCTTTGACAAAGCAAGTTATTATTTCTTCAGATCTGGCCCAGGTTTCCCTGGGTTCCTCTGGAATGCCTTTGAATACAAGATTATTCCGGCGGATACGGTTATCAAGAGCGTTGAGGTCGCTCGCAAGGTTTAGTGTAGTTTCAGTGTTTAACGATATTGATTCGACTTTTTCTTCCAGCAAGCGGAGGTCTTGAGAGACTCTAGTAACTTCTTCATTAGTTCCCGACAATTCCTCAACCTTTCTTTCAAGACTCGTGACCCTTTCGCTTAATTCACCGACCCCTATTGTGATCGCGCTAAGCTTTGACAGACTTTCTTGGTGGTTTAACTCAGTCTTTAGGAGGAGAGCTTCCAGCTTCTCTTGCAACGTAGCGAGAGTTGGCTGGTCGGGAGCATTCTTGGGGCCGGGGTTCATTTCTACGTCTCCGGACAAAATGAGGAGTGAGCATACCAACGCGAGTGCAAACACGACTCTGATCGACGGAACAACAGCAAGAACTCGCGGACAGAATAAAAAACGTTTCAACTTTACACATTTGCGGGTGCTAGAAGGGAGGAAACATCCTATTCTTTCTCGATAAACACAAACATCGACACCCATGATTTGTCAACACGCACTGTACAAACAAAAGTAGAACACTGGGATTTGCGGCCTGGTAGTATGACAAATCGAACTGATTATAGCTTGGGCCTATAATCAGTTCGATCTGTTAACACAAGTGAACTGATGCAACAAGTTCATACTTGCACAGCAGTTACTGGTGAGACAACGACCTTGTACGAAAAGCGCTGATAAAACAGCGTGGCCAGCCAATGCGCAGCGCAAGTTCGTTTGCTTCTTTTTTCAAGGGCATTGGTGACTCCAGAACGCTGAGCTTCAAGTGACTCTGATTGAAGGATAGTTGGTAGACCTCAAAGCAAGCTGCCTTGAGGTCTCCCACTATCCTTTGATCAGAACCAATCAGAGCTTGGCGTTCTGACGTCATTAGAACTCCAGCAAAAGAAGCAGACGAATTTGCGCGCCGGATACTACGTAGAAAAGAAGGCTTGCGCATGACGCCATCGTCGGTGGATCACCGACCCGCCCCCAAGCAACAAGAGTTGCCGCAAAACGGTCGACGCGTTTAGCTTGGCGTCTCCGCGTGCTAGCGTCGTGCTCTATGAGAGACGCTGCAGGACGCGCTGGCGGCCATACTGACGGACGCTAGGCGGCGCTGCGTCGATCCACCAGTGATGACGTCTGGGAGGCAAATTCACAGGCCATGTCTTTTTTAGGTGGTGCTGGGGCAACATACGTTTTAAAACGACCGGATGTGCGGATAACGTTTGAACGACACTCGTATATACATATCTGTGGCTCACGTTTTATTATTTTGCGACTCGAGTGATGTGTCCAATTGTCGCCCCGCAGAGTACACCCGTTCCGAGGTGGCCTTCTGCACCATCAGCATGGCGCTGCTCTTCATGGGGCTCGGGTTCTCCGTGTACACCTTCAAGGAGCCCCGCTATATGTTCAAGAGGCTCGCCGGAGGAGTGCACTTCCTCAGCGGTACGTGCGTCTAGGGTCTCTCGATAGCTTAAGAAACGGAGGGTGCGGCCTGCAGTGTTCCCGCTTCTTGCTTCCTGATTGGCTCTTCGGCGTTGCTATCGGACAATGCCGCAATCTGATTGGCTGGGAATCGATGATACAATTGCTCGGCACTCGCCACACCCTGCGTTTTTTATGCTAGCTGTTATTGACTAAATCAACTTATCGGAAGCTGACCCCCGCTGCGAGAAAAAACAACAACGAGAGAATGCAAAAAGGATGAGCTGCAACAATTATATTTGTCACAAATTACAGTTTAAAAAACATGTAGAAGAACTTTGTTATAAAACTTCCCATTTCAAGGCCATTGGTGGCTTTAAGAACTTCATATGTGGTTAACATTGAACCAGCTTAAATTTTAGTAAGAACACCGGACTACCGTGTATTAAAAGTATCCATTATATAAGAAATTTTCCTTCTCGCTGCACAGCTTTTGAAATGGCGTTTCGTTCGTTTGAATTTCGTTTGATTTAAACGTGGATGACCAAGGCAAGTGTTGGACAAGAATCATAAGTATTACATTTTTAAATTGAACTTTATTTTGAAGAATGGCGTATTATGTTTGCTCTTTGTACGTCGTGACTCGTCGTGCGTTTTCTTGTCTACTATTAGCGCCATATCCAGTGCTGCAGAGCAATAAGAAAGTACTCTGGACTTAATTGTCACGCCTTGCATTTCTTAAGCTGCTAGTTTGCTATAGAAAACCAAAGGCAGACCTATAAGCTGTAAAAAAAGCAGATTCTCATTGTTTTATTTTCAGTTCTGAAAAAAGAGATTTAAACATTTTTGGGAAGTTACCTCACTTGAACATTTTCGCACAGAAAATACGCAGGAAGTCGCCAGCTGGCTTGCTATTTAGATCGCTCGGTTACCAGTGACTCGAATTTAATCGTGCTTGCAGCACTTTCTCAGAAGCGAAATGGAGCGTGGGAGTATAGATGACTGTGAGTTGTGACTGCGCTCTTTGGTTTTTCCAATCCAGCGGGGGTGATGGTGGTGATCATGGAGGTAGAGACCAATTCGATCAACTACGAGGAGAAGTACCTGTCGTCGAGGCACCCCAAGGGTTGTCGCTGGAGCTTCGGCTTCTCCTACTACTTCTCCTGGATCACCTTCTGCCTGTACATCGCCGCCGGGCTCACCTTTATCGTCTGCTCGCGCAAGCGCAAGACCGTTGACGATATTCATGACGACGATCCTCAGATGATTGGCCGAATATGATGAGGCCTCACCAATGAACGGGTTGGCTGAATTTGTTCTCTTATAGCTACCTTCGCGTTGTGTCGGGGAGACGCCGGGCAAGGCGTTAATGTTGGCTTCACTCGGAAGATTGGCGTCCCGAACGCTACATGAACTGATCTGCCACTTGGACAGAACAGAGAGTACGCAGGCTCTCGAACGGTGTGCCAAGTGAAAACCCGGAGTGATGACAATTATGTGACTCTCCGTACTTCCGGTGCGCCTGTGGCGACTAAACCTCCGGAGCAACGTCGACGAAGACAGGGCTTGAGACCTTCCTAGCTTCCACGTTTTGCAGAGTGACGTGGCTTCCGCCAGACACCTGCTTGATCCCTGGCTGCTGTAGACTTTAAATATTTCTAGTCTTGAAATAACGGAGCGCTACTTCCGCTTAGAACAACTTAAAATACTTACAGTTACGATGCCTGAAGTACGTACGTTTCCGACCGGTGCGTTTGGCATCCTCTTCCGAGCGTCCATCATAAGTGGTCCCGAAGTGGCAACAAATGACGTCAGAAAAGTCTGAGTGTCATGCTTTCGGATGTCACGACCCTGGTGGTTGGTCGTTGAAGTTGCGTCAAAAAGCGCGAGTAAACGTGAGTGTCAATGTCGTCACGGCGTCCCAACTCCTCGCTGTCGAAGATTTCGTGGACTGTCGTCAGGCTGGAAAGCAGCCAGCAGCAAAACAGGCGCCTGCCACATCCACTACCGCTGCTGTCACACCGCCAGGATCGCGGCCGACGACAGCGTGATGCTTGTATGACGTCATCAAACGGAAATCAAGGGACCACTTTTGTAGACGCGGTACACTCACAGCTCAGAGACGGGTTCCAGGCACCACACTAAACTGGACCAAACTATTTACTATATAGATTCGAAAAATTGGTTCCAAAACTCTGAGCTTCTTCATTTTTGTTTTAAAGCCGGTAGATTAGGAAGTTCACCTAAGGCTCTCTCTGATAAACTTTGTGACTTAAGGATCTCCCTGATCAACTTTCTGATGTAGGCAAGTCGTGCAAAATACGAAGTAGAGAACTCCGCGTTATGGCGGCGATGCCGCCCAACAGCAGCCTACGGAGTGACGTCATGGACTACAGCCATGATGCCTTGTGTTCTCAGATGCCTTGGTTGAATTGTCTGGGGCAGGCTCAGGTGAGTTTCTGATAATATTCTCACATTCACGGTACCAACCATTACGGAAGATTGCAGATTCTTAGCCATAAGATCTACCGACGATGTGATTCTGATTGCACTTAAGCATACTACACGAGCAGACAGCTCTTCCGTTCGAAAAATGCGCGATCTTCTATTTCGATGCTCACGAAGCAGGCATAGTTCAAACACTGCAAGAAGGATAATTATCTGGAGCACTGAGAAGAAAGTGTACAAAAACACACACAATGTCCATCGCCTACCCAGGATGTCCATTGCCTACCCAGAATAGACTCGGCAGTTTAGAAAAATGCGACGTCCACCGAAAGCAGCCTTGGAATGAGAATAATATAAAGGCATCTGCAATATCTTATAGGGTAAGGTTAACATCTCAGCCTGAATACAAGTACGTTTGTTTAAGCTTTTACGCGCAGCATGTCAGCTGACATGGACTCATTAGAGTTTAGACCGTCGATAACGGACCTCCAACGATAGCTAAAGTTTTATGGACCAACTCCGTGCTAGTTTTCTGCAAGCGAAAGGGCATCAAATGGACATGCGTGACGGTGTCAATTACGGAATCGTGATTGATCAGTTTGATTTAAACTTATTGACGCAAAAACACTTGCGTTAAAAATATTTACTAGCCTTTTGGGGATTATGAGAAGTAATTGATTATTGACTAACTTTTGTTCTTTATTTATTTCTACAATGCTGTTCAGCCAAGGAGTATAAGTTCGGATGAAACAGGATATTCTGCATGTGTTCGGTGTTTATAAGAAAACTGGAATTTTCGCGAACGAAACAAAGCTGCCAAACCATCGATCGAAGTGCGTGTTTTTCTGTTATATCTAAAATTTACAGCGGGACTGAAACGGTCGATATCACAGCGTAATGTTCCCCTTTGTTCTCGAGCCAGGGAGACAATAGCACCTTCAGTATATCTGCTGTTTTGTGTAGCCCACGAAACTGTGCTGCACTACAAAAAAGAAAAAAAGAAGAAGACGAAGAAGAAGAAGAAAAGCTGTTGTTTGACAAGCGCTAAGGACAAAATGACACATAGTTTTGTTCGCTTTTCAAAGACTTCTCGAACGGTGTCGATTTGTTGAACTGCAATCCATCACAAATAAAGATTTCTCGTCTGGGTCGTAGTGTTGCGTTTCATTTACAGTGGTAATCAAATCTTATTATAACGCGGGAGTACCAGGCGTTTCCTGGCCAGCAGTAGACTGGTGGCGTTTGCGGCGACTAATTTTGTCACGTGAGGCCCCCCAACATACAACTAACTTTCTGCTCGACAGTCGTCTTGCCGGCACTGTGGGCCGCCGATGAACGCGGGAAATTGCTTGCACAATATTCGCAAACATAAGAAGACTCTAGCAGTATAAAACAGAAATATAGCTCGAGGGCAAACCTAAAATGTCATAAGCAAAAAAATAATGGCAAATTGCTAGGCAATCGTGTTGCATCCGTGAAAAGTCCTAGCATCACAAACGCTAAGTGGTACCCTGAATTTCAAGACGCCCACGTTCACGGCGGTCTTCATCAGACAGTTTAACGCGTACCATGTGTACACTTATTGGTTGTTCCTAGAATGAAGCGATACTACCGCTAATCAGGCTCATAAACCTGGAGCTCTTCCAAAGCCTTCCATAATCGCGAGCTCCTCTCCTTCAGTGCGCACAGGTGGTCGAGCTCCTCCTCGCCTACCTCACTCCTCCTCATCCACACCTCTGGTCACACGACCTCCCCGCTAACCAATAATCGTCGAGTACTACCTCTCCCACCCGCCAACCAATCACTGTCGAGCCTCGCGGTCACGCTTTTATCTGGGCTTCACGAAATTTCCAACACCTAGGCAAAAACGATTTCCTCTTAAAATTACTTGCGTTTTCCTTTAAAATAATTATCAAGGCGGCGTAGAGTTTCCTACATTGCGATACGTGAATAAGACATAAATTTATGCGATTAACTGCAGCGAATGGAGGAGGCTGGGCACGCCTAGAGCACACCGTTCCTTTTTGTCCCACGTGACTATACTAGTGGCCGCGAATGCAACCAGTCCTGTGCTCTTCGGAAAAAGTCGCGTGTTCCAGGATCATAAATTGCACAGTGTGATTACCAGTCTGTCTTTGTAAGCTTCGGAAAGCCTCAAATACCCTAGGAATACTCGATTGTAGATTACAAAATGAGTGATACGGTACTGAAATGCTGATGCACAGCGAATGACTCTGAAGGTTTAATTCTCGGAACATTAAGGTGCACGAGAAATCAGCCTGCTCTGATAAGAACTATTTAGACGAGGAGCGAAATAGAACAAACCTTCCTACATATCGACGTGATACTTCTACCATTTCGTGAGTTTGCTACCCCCCCCCCCCCCCCTTTCCCCCCACAGCATGAGTCGCGGAAAGTAAAATCGTATGTTTTGTTTCTTTTCCTCTTGAAACTAGAGAGTGGAACGATTGAAGAATACGTCAACCCCAACTTTCCGACCAACATCCTCACTACCTGATCATGAGGGGACTGACTGGCGAACCTGCTTGCTGAGGGTCCACCAACGACGGGCTCTGCTAGTGAATAGTATTCGTGACTGGTTGAATAGACAGCGCCAACGTCAGATGCCAGGAAAGAGGCACCGTGTAATCTGCGTCCCGTGACACAGGCTTTATCGATATTGATTTACCAGCCAAGAAATACATTAATGAAGTCCTACCCGAGGACCTCTGACTCACATTAAAAGCGCATCATGTTCAGCTAACTCCCTGTCGTTTATGGCTTAACAATTGTGTCCCGCTGTTAGGCCACCGGTAGAAAGCCGTTATAACTGCACGAGAGTGTACCTCTGTGTGGCATGGGAAGTGTGCCACATAGAGAGCTAAAGAATCTTTGGAGCTAGGTACTGCATTTTGTATGTCAAGTGAGTTTAAGCTCTTGTTTTATGCGATCCTATGTAATAGCAACGCGCAGTTTAAAGCGCAAAAGCAGCTTCAACATTACACAGCCGAGCTACAGACATGACCTACAACCAAATGTCATTCACCAAGGATGGCGTTTGCAGCAAATAACTCTTGCCCGCGCCAGCCGAGAGATATCTTCAGAAACCGAACGCTCCCAGTTGAATATACTGGGCGTGACACTGTTAGCGCGAATAAGCCATCGACAGGTTTTCTTTTTTCCTCAAATCTGAAATTCTGTATTCAAATTCATTGGTATGGTTGATCGGCTTATGACGATTACTAATAAAAATGAAATTTTGGTTGCTGTCACTACCGTTCGTGAGGAAGGCTAAAAATGGGCCGATGTTTTCGCGCTCTGCTGGCCACACCGATAAAACCTCCTAAAATTTGATAATGTGGGATTGTTGCGAAAAGGCAGCGGTAGAGGATGAAGAGGCAAGAGTCTTTTGGGGGCGTCTGGGGGCATGGAGAAAAAATTAGAGACAGAGCAATGGTTAAAACGGCTGAAGACATTGAACATCTCTCTGGAGCGAATGAAGACCGTATGAAAAAATTACAGCTCTGATCTAGACTTTTCTCTGACCCTCTGCCGAATACTGGACCGAAACCAGACAAATTCGACTCTCACGATATTTTGAGCATGCAGCTAATTTACAACAATGAAAAACCAACATGCTGCCATATAATCAGACAGTAAACAAAAACTCCAACTTACCGTGAGACTGGCGGCGAATGCTGCAGCCCTACGTTGTGCAATAATTGCGAAGTGAACTGTTCGCAATAAAATATTAATAAAAACAATAAGCTATCAACTATTCTCTACCTCTTACGCGTCCTGACATCAAACCTATAAAACACTTCTTAAAACTTTCACCTGTCGATGCATTTTTACATGTATGTCGTCAATGTCTTCGTCTTACCTTCGACATTATTTTTGTATGTTACAATAAGGAGAGGCGCTAATTCGACTCTTAAATGCAATTTTTAATATAGCGGGTTGGCTGGTGAGCGATAGGTTCACAAAGAAGCCTATGCCGTTGAAATATCTGACGCAGTTGTAAATACACGTGGTATTTACATCCAGTTGAACTACTGGCTGCTTGCGACAAAGATGATCTCACTTTCTTTGGATTGGCCTCGAAATGTTGTCATTATATCCCAAAATATTTAAAACAAAAGGCTCCGTCTAAGCTAGACAAAATCAAGGGTTTCAATTATAGGGTGCTGTTTCTTCTATGACAAACCAAATTGGGCAGGGAGTATTTCTAGGTTTACAGATCAAGAAAAGCTCGAATAGTATGAGCAAATTTTTTTCAACTAAAATTAATGTATTGGGCGCAATACTATATAAATTTAAATATTTAAAATAACTTTTTGAAGTATTTAAATTGCTACATCATCGGTTTTGGATCGGGACAGCAAGGACCGCGAGAAATGCATAGAGATTACAGACTGATTTGTTTAAGACAAGTGGCAGGTGGCGCAGGGTTTCATAGCTGTTCTGGTTAGTTATCTTAGTGGTCCGCTGGCATACCGCGATACATCCAACATTAGAATGTCCTTCACCCTACCTTCAGTAACGGAACACTAAATAAGGCACCCTGCGATTCCTAATATTATCAGGGTATGAGAACTATCCACGCATTATCGGGAAAAAAAACCCGAAGTTACCCGCAGTGGCATTGGATATGATTGATTAAGTTTCTCTTCACAGACAAAGGTTTGTAAAATCTAAACAACAGAAAGAGATTGTGAATCAAAAGCAGATGTTTAACAAAGGTAATGTCCATTAGTGGATCTGATTATACAGCTAGATCTGTAACTGTAAATGCCTATGACAAGCAGCCTTGAGCAACAATATAGTCAGTCCTTTTATATAATTGTTTCCAAATTCAATAGCAATTAAAGGTGCACGCTTATAGCAACCCAATGAAAGCAGTGCCAGAAATGGTGTCGCCTATTTTAAATGGGTCTTCGTGCGTCAATGCGTCACAATGTCGTGTAACATCATGATATCATGATGTTTTTTTGGGGATGTCACGAAACGTCTGCAGTTCATGATTAAAAGGCGTGCGACGCTCGTTTTATATTAAGAGCAATGACCAGACTTTAGTACGTTACTAGTTTAGGAGCCCTTATATCAAACAGCAGCAAATAAAAAATGTAGTGCCCTTGACTGCGAACACTACATCACTCGAGCTGTATTGAGAAAAATCTCAAATACTCATTACTCGTGTGGACCATTTTAATGATCCCCTTCTGCACGCCGCCATGTTTGTCTACTGGGTTGCAGGACGCGTTCCGAGTGTGCGCAGTGGCTCCCTTCTGCGGAAAATTAGACGAGCACAACCAAGTGACTAGGCATTTGTCGCCTGGGTGATAAGCGCTGGAAAGGTTACAGTGTGTACATGCTTTAAGTGCAACTGTAGTTCAGGACCTTTGTTAGAGACTAGCTTTAATTGACCGCCCAGTGTCATTAAATCACTACTGACGAGATCATTGAAAGTGGAACTCGGGTATTGGGAAAAACCAAACAAGTTTACTCATTGTTCCTTGCGTCACTTGTGTATTCACGTTGACTTCGTTCAGAACTGTTGTCCGCGCGAGCGACATGCCAACAAACGGGAAACAACAACCAACGTTCTTTGAAACGCTAAGACTTCTGTGCTGATGTGCCCGTCTCTGCCAACGTTGTCCGACCAGTTGCTGACGGGTGTACGTGGGTTGTCTAAAGTGAAAAATAACAAAGTATGCCACGCAAACGCACGCACACACACACACACGCATAATGAATCGAAACTATGCCCAACATGGCTCAACTTGCCGACGTGAATGACCAGCCGGTACACGGCCAAGTTTCTGTTTACAGCGCAATTAGTACAGCTCTAGCTCTCTAATTATTATACCTGAAAGCAGCTGTGATGCTTTGTAAGGTTTGAATGCGTTTGAAGATTTAGACCTTATGCATTCTAAGGTCACGGACTTATCCTGTAATCTGTGTTTTACGCCGCGAGAAGTAGGCAACGTAATTCTCTTTTTGAGGTTTTTGGAGTTAGATGCATTTCAATGTAAAACTTAAAAAAAAAACGATGTCATAATAATTTTAGAATTCGTCGTCTCAACATTGTAAATACAAATTATATGTAGAGGAGTAATAGTACTACTTAGATAAGTATTAAACACTTTTTATCCCTTCAATCGATTGTCTCACCCACGACCTTATTCTTTCTTTGGTGTAAATCACTCATCTTTTCGGGAGCTAACTTAAAAATAAAAACAGTCGCGATAAAAATATTTCAATGTAATGTTGGAGCTAAGTAGAAGTCATTATCCGGAAGACATCAAACTTGCAATCATGACGAGGGCGAAAAGATTAATGGGGCATTTTACACGAGTATAAAGTGTAGGGAGTTTATGTTATAGGTATATATCTGACAAAGAGCATTAACAGATGATGTAGAAATGGTAATGAATCCATCTTTCTATTTGTCTGGCACGTTGTATTGGCACAAGAAAACTGTATGGTGCTAACGAACTATCACGTGACAGCCAATATGCATAAAATCTCACTTTGGAAAAATCAAGAAAAAAAAAAGCTATTTGTGTAAACTTGGGATTAAGCCCACCAGCTAAGACGGGGGTGAAATACACAGTCCCACACTAGGACTAATATTTCCTAATTCGGTTGTGGCAGTGATTGGGAGGCAAACGTCATTATTATCATCGCAGGCATATTTTTAATTTCCAGGGCTTTTTCATAGCTTATTTAAAGGTAATCATAAGAGCATTCTGTGCTTTATAGAATGAAGGAAAGGAAACTACCTTCCTGTCATGGCTCTAAATATTGCGAGAAAATTCTGGAGATGGAGGCCGGGATTCTGCCAGATGCCTTCGATTTCACCACACCCCAGTGTTACGAATTACTTTATACGCGTGCATCATACTAGAATGTTATCCGTAACAGTAGATACAAATGCCTGTTGCTCGAGAATCAGATGCCTCTCTTATATCAACTTATGCTTTTTTTTTTTTATAGATATACACGTTAGCTTGCGTAAATTTGTCGAGAGCCAGTACAGCCGCCAAGCAGTTCCGAAATTGAATCAACAAACGTCATATGAGAAATAGAAGCTGTACCACGAACGTTAATATGATCGCTTTCCTTGTTGAGTGGCGATCATCTTACAAAAGAAACTGGTTGACATCATGTCAATATTTTATGGCACATGAATATGTATAATCTAAATACTTTTAACCTGCAAACAACGGTTTTTAGGTTTTTTCGTTGAGTGTGTGTTCAGCGTTCCTTATCAACCAACAAAATGTTTATGGTTGGGCCTGCACTGCTATATCATAGTGGTGACATATATCGACCTTTAGATTATCATTTATATTTATTGGTTCACCGTGAGCACTCCTCGTAAGACTTCACGCCGTTTGGCTCCCTGAGAAAAATTGTGATTACTCTTTTTTTTTTCATGTGACCGGTCTTTATGCAGCAGATTTTAAAACTGCGATAAGAAACGTGGTTTCTGGCAAGATCGAATTAGTTTTCACTCTAATAAAAAAATTTACCAACCTTACGTAGCACCTGGTGAGCATCCGAATAAAAAAAGCACTACATCAATTAATATTTTTGAAGAAAACCGTTTTCTGCGATTGCTTTGTGTGTGTGTGCGCGTAGGTGTGAATACTTTTTTTTTATTTTTGTACAAAGTGCCGGTAATAAATATACTGGTGGGTAGTACTTGTTATGATTAATCAAGAAAGGTGTTGAAATTAGATGACACTAGTTAAGCCTTGTTAACGCTAGCAGTCGCCATGAGCGTGAGGTGTAGCCTGCGTGATTTTGTAGCGACATTATTCAGGAATGTGCACCACGATCAAACGGGATTTCGAAATGCCAATATTCTGTCTTGCTGTTTTAGACGATCGGAACTGCTTACGTGAACAAGGTTAACTCATCATACCGTTATACAGCACGTAGAAAAAGAAGAACTCTAGTTTGACTATTAACTAAACAAACTCTGAACTAGCATAACAGTGACTGATTAAGGTAAGCGAACGTTGTTTTTTTTTTCGTCTGCGTCCTTGTTTTCAAGATACCGAGTCACCCTGGTTATTTTTTGAGCCACCATGTCGGGTAAGGTTGAGACGATCGCATCACCGATGACGTCATACCGACACCGCCTCGCTCCCTCTGATTGGTCGACGGGCGTGCACCAATGGCGGCGTTTCCAGTTCGTCCGCGTCTTCGCCTTTGCACCGCTTCCGACGCACAAAACGAGAGATTAGTCCGGGATACGTGAAGACCCGTTGCAAAAGAACACGCACAAAAGGTCACCTTTCGTACATCACTCACACGTCACTCAGTAATCTGTAACTCACTTCACCACAGATCACGTGCTCACATTCGAAACGGAAGTGGAGAAACGAACTACACTAAAAAGAAGTGGTCGCACGCCTTGCCTTCTCAAAAGGAAAAAAAAAACGGTCGGTGATATGCCAGAATAGCAGACTCTTGACGTCACGAACCCCGACTCTAGCGCCACTCCACCATGAGTGGCGAGGCTGCGTAGCCACCAACGGGAGGATGCACCATAAGTCGAAAAATATCGACGAACCTCAAAAGCAAGAATAAAACGTTATTACGAAGAAATCTTTTGTTTGTTTAAAAAGTTACTTCTGCAATTCGATGGTGTCCGTGGAATAGCTGTCTCTCACTGTTAGAAAAAGAAGAAACGCTTCACCCCCGGTGTCCACCTGTGTCGCTGCTGTCGCAACAGTCTGCTGCAGCAGTTGGCGGCCTTGGATGAAGAACCATAGTTGGCAAACCTACCACCACGCGCACAAACACACACTTGCACACGTATGTGCATACGCGCACAACACACACGCCTACGCATGTAACACCTCATGAGATAACGGTAACAGCCCGACTTGGTAAACTAACTGTGGTGGTTATGAGAAAATATGTGCTTTCTCGGGATTTGGAAGGGCATGAGATTTCCGGGTTTCAAACCTCCGCTAACGGAGCTTAGGATTTGTGGTAGGGTTAGCTACATTCGCATTGAGTCACGACATTGAACACGAAATTAATGTCCCGCCTTTTACATCGGCAATGCTAGACAGCTTAGAAATAATGCTGAGCTTAAGTCTATACAAATAACGATAGTGTCAGAGTAAAATGAGAATAAAACAACGCATGAGTGTTTGTGCCGAAATAATCAATCCCAAATAGAACATACGCTTAAATCATATAGTGCGCTAATTCACTTCTGACATCATGCAATTTCAAGACGCAAAAAAGCAACAAAAAAAAAGCAAAAAACAAAAAAAAAAGGCCGTGGTAAACACAAAGTATATAGATCGTATCTGTGATAACGCAAAAACCAGACGGTTGCGGCTGGTATAAAATTTGCCAGAGTGTGCATATTGTTAAATCACCATTTTTCAAAGTTTAAACAGACGTTGAATGCATTATCATTAGGGTTAACAGACAACATTAGCCTATAACAAAATTACTTTTTTTTTAGTGTTCGTCAAATAAGTGGCGGGCTCTGTGATACCGTCGAACAGCTAAAGGTTATTGAAGAACAGCCTTGGAACAAAAGAACCAAGAACTCTAGGAGAGTCGGATGTCTCACGCCATCTCTTCCAGCCTTGCCGCAGGATCAGGTGTGCCGTTTTCGCCGTTAGGCCTAGCTCTGTCGGGGCAAAACGTTAAGGACCTACTTTCCTTAGGCCTAACCGCATAGGCCTAGATTTATCTTTAAAAAATGCGAGTGTACCCTCAAACGGGCGTCGTTCTGCGCAGCGTTTCGAACGAGAACTCCCTGGAGTACTCGCGGGTGAGGTTGTCCGCCGTGGTGGACACAGTGTTGCACGTCGTGTCCCTAGAGAACGGCGGGAAGTTGTAGTACGATAGGTCCCTCATCGACTCGGACATGGGCAGGTGCGGCGGTGGCGATGCCCTCCTCCCGAGCACGTGCCTCGGCGGCGGAGGCGGCGACGCCGACGGCTCGAACACCAAACCAGGCTCCGAGCCCGTTCCGACCCCGCGACCCCGGCGACTGGGGCCGGCGCTTCGCGACATTGAGCACGACGGCGACGAGGAAGACGTGTGGTGCTGGTGACCGCTGCCAGTGCGGTGGTGGTGGTGCCTCGTCGACGACGAAGACGAGGACAGCGGCTGGTTGTAGCGTCGGCAGCCCGGTAGATGGTCCACGGGCTTGTGCCTCTCCAGCTTCTTCTTGAGCTGCTGTTGGTAGCGGTGGATGCAGAGGAATATGGAGAAGGTTCCCGCCAGCTCACAGGACATGAGGCCCGTGACAGCCAGGAGGAAGGAGTAGCCGTAGCTGTAGGTGAAGAGGGGCTCCTGGAAGGATGACTTGGGGCGTAGCTTTGAGCCCACCTCGGCCTTGAAGGTGGAGATGTAGATGACCATGCCGACCAGGATCATCAGTCCTGTAGACGTTTGCGGTAGGGGTTTACGAGAAAGAGGGACGTAGGCAGAGATGGGACAAGAGCGGGACAACAAATGGTTTGAGGGCCAGAAAAGGGTTAAGTGAGAGCGTGATGATGGTCATGAGTTATTAGCAAACGTGTATTTGTTTCCATTAAAAAAACGGGTGGAAATGTCATAACATTGGGAGTGTAAATAAACGTAACAAAACATATAATAAGGTTAGGGAGACATGAACCAATATGAGCCGGTTGTAGAAGTGTGATTATGGAAGACAATGATTGAGACATGGAAAGAAACGTACGATGTAAAAGAAAAAAGAAAAACAAAACGGAAAGATAATGAAGAAATTTATATAACAGATATGCAGCGGAACGGGACAGGACCCGAATGAGGGTAGGAAAGAATTGGGTTGAGGTGGGCAAAGGAAAGAGAAGAGAAAGATGCAAAACGTTAGTCACTAACTTCCGGTTCGTGCGTGTTCACAATACAACTTTCCACAGAAAGCGACAAAACTCTAGCTACATCATAAAATAAAGTCTATCGGTGATTTTTGTTTTTGCAAGATATTTATCATATACTTTTATATGAACAAAAAAAAACTATTTTCTACGGATGGGAACACTCTTCAGTTTCTGCATCGGCCGTTTATAAACTAGTCTATTTGCGATGCAAAGCATACTCAACTAATTTTGCCTGTAATTTAGATACATAAAAATACCACGTAGTCAGATACGTTCTGTTTGGTGATGATAATATATATTCAATTTAATCTTTTCGTTCGCTTTATGTCACTCTATCACGTAAAATTTAAAAAAAAATTGACGTTGGTTATTTTTTTGTTGTTGTGTTGCCCTCAAGAACTTTTCTTTAAACTGTGTGTTTAACACCGCGAGTCTTTTCACAAAGACGCGAAACCGTGATACGCAAAACGAACGAAAAGTTTGGCGACCGGAAATGTGAAGCTTCAAGCGCTTGTGGACATTACCAAACATTTTGAAGTGTCCATCGAGCGGTGAAGATTCTGCTGGTTACGTCGCTGGCACTTTCCAGAGGCCCATACGCGGCCATTACAAAATGCTACCTTCATTAACAGTTAAAGAAACGAATGGCGTGGCTGACACGCCATCGAAAACGCTTGCAAACTGTCAGAAACGTGTGAAAAGCCATACCCTTCTGACAAAGTCGTCCTTCAGGGTTTAGTGTTTTTTTTTTTCTGTGCGAACAGTTTTTTAGCCCTAAAAAGATCCAAGTCCCTTAGTTGAACGTCGTCCTTGAGGATCTCGTTCGTGTGAAGTGCGCACTTTTAAACATTTCTGCGCGTTTACTGTCATTCGTTGCACGCTGTGGGCCAGTCACTGCGATAAACTGAGTGCCTTCGAGAAATGACGGGGCGCAAGGAAACGTTTGATTTTTTTTATTCGAAAACGCAGTCTGCGCCGGGACAATGAGAAAGCGAAATATCGCTCATTACACATAACTCGTAGGGTTCCGTGTTCTCGGTAAATACCGATAAACCCCGAAAGATAACCCGCGAGCATGTTGTATCAAAAAAAGCGGGGAAACCGAAAAACACCGAATTAAGAGCTGTCCCCGTACGAGAAAAACCAAAGCTTTACCGGAAAAAAAAATTATTACTTGGGGCTTTTTTTTTTTTTTTTTTGCGTTCATTAGGCTTAGAATTTTGGCTGAACTGTCCATGAGGCTTCTTGTTTCTTGGAGAACCACTCGTCTTATCTCATGTCTTTTTTTTTTCTGATACGGGGGGACGTTTTTTGACCACACACGAACTTTACTCTCTGACGTCACGACGCAGTGGTGGCGCTGCTGTCGGTACCGCGCACGCGCAGATGCTTCCTGTCCCACGCGTATCTGGTTTCTGCGCACGCGGAAAAGTGAACTTGTTTGTCAACATCGTGTTGATGTGTACCAGTCGTGGCCTATGCTCTTCGGAGGTTGGGGAAATCCCACGGCCGTGCCTTGTTTTCTTCGACATGAACGCCGATAAACACCAATTTTTTTTTTTTTTTTTGCGAGATTAGAAAAATTATTTGATACAGTAAAAACCACCGACTTTGTGAAAATAAAGTAAATATAAAAAAAACAAAAACATCACCGAATTCGAAAAAAATATTATGTTTCATAAGTCCCTGCGAGCTTAAAAAGGCACTGACAGGCCAAAATTATGTGTTTTTTTTTATTATCCGTAACGATTGAAAACGATGCCATGGACATTTCCCTAAAACTTCGAAACTTAGAAACTCAGTATTTGTGAAGTAAGAAAACAATTTCCAAAAGCCGAATATGAAGTTCCCGCGCAATCCGCGCAGTGTAGTGACGTCAAAGATTGAGTCGTCCTGCAACTCGGGTTTCTGTCACGCCTATGTGCCGTGTTCGCCCACGTCCCGCGATCAACCGGTCCGTGCGTGCCGCCTGACGCTGTGAGCAGACGACGCTTCACTTTCGAGTTTGAAATTCCTTTGAGGCGCTTTCAGCGATCTCAAATTCTTTGAAACGGTGTGAGATAGAAGAGAACGCGCTATGAACTTTTGTGAGCGACGTGAGGGGCACGTCGCGCCGGTTTACCGTGAAAGGCTACCCCGGCGGAGTCACAACAGAGACTACGGCACACAGACACCAATCCCAGTTGTTTTGACCGTTTGACGATTTCCTTTTTGGAAGTCTGAGAGGTCGTCGGACACCTAATTAAGAGAACTTCGCCTGATTCCCCGACTAACCGATCATCTTCAGTGCTACATGCGTCGAGTGCCACCATGTTTTTTGAGGGAGGATAAAAAGCCTGGAGGCAACACCACTCCGGACTCCGATTTTCGGTATTTTAAAATGAAGGGCCGTAGTGCGTTCGCAATTCCGTTAAAAAAAAATGTTTCACGAATGCCGTCATTAAATATGTCGCTTACAAATGTTCTAAATTTCATAATCAATTACATCACAAATAAAAAGAGGCGAGAAGGTGGCGAGCAGAAAGAAGAACGCAAAAAAAAGGCGCGCGTGCCGCGTGCGATAAATTTTGTTTTTCGTGTTCTGGTTTTCTTTTTTTTTTTTTTGCGTGTTGATGATTACAACTTGCATAATTTTTGACAAAATTAAAAAAAAAAAGTACGAGCTCTTGGGTGTCAGTGTCCCTTTAAGCAACGCGGGGGAATGTCTTAATAAGTTCACGCGCTTTCGCTTCGCGAGGTTCGCTTTTCGGCCTACTGATCGACTAATGCCTTAATCTACCACGGAGGGGTAATAGCATGTTCGCGACTAACAACGTCAATCTATTTATAGCCATAACTAAATCTATGGGCCCAGAGCATTCTAAAAAAAACCAAACATTACATTCACGCGTGGCCTCTAAACGGTATTAGCGCACACGTAGAGAGAAGACAGAAGATACAGGAAAGAGCGCTTCTCTCTTCTCTCTACGTGTCCGCTAATACCGTTTATATGTTTAAATACCAACCAGCCCAATTATCAACCGTTTCACGCGTGGCCGAATTTTCTATTAAAATCGGCATAAAAAATCGATTACCTCCGTACTATCGCAGACACCAGGGGGCGCGGTGGGACGAGAAAAAGGGCTCCTCCTCGTCCGACAGCGCTTTCTGGTGACTGCGATAGTTACGAGGTAATCGATCTTTAATACAAATTTTGATAGAGAAATCAGTTTCAAAGATCGATTACATCGAAACTATCGCAGACACCAGATGGCGCTGTCAGACAAGGAAAAGGGCATCTCTAAGTCCGACGGCGCCCTCTTGTGTCTGCGATAATTTCGAAGCATGCGATCTTTGATACCGATTTTAATAGAAAAATAAACATGAAAGGTTGATTACATTGGAACTATCGCAGACATTGGAGGGCGGCGTCGGACGAGAAGAAAGACGGATGGATGGATGGATGAATCCGGTTGAGCCCTTTAGATCGGGCGGTAGCTTACGCCACCTAGCCATTTTGTTTGACCATTTAATAAGCTTAGAATATTTAAATGTGAAAACTATATTCACTCCGCACTGCAAAGAAAGTGAGGCTATAAAAGCCCCTTGCCATCATTAAATAAGAAAATACCTAGTTTTCTCTCGCTTTCTGCCACCATTCACTTAATCTTTGCTTGGTAATCTCTACTGTCTTGAAATCCACTCTTCCTTCGCTGTATCTAAAACCCAATGACTTTATTAAATCTATGTTGTCTTCGGTAGGCATAGGGTGAAGCCTTTTACAGGAGTATCAAGTGCTCAACCGTCTCGTCCTCCTCTCCACAAGCAGTGCACACTGTATCCATTTCCTGGCACTTCGCTCTGTATGTTCTGGTTCGCAGAACACCCGTCCTCGCCTCAAACAACAATGAGCTTCACCTAGAATTATCATAAATGCTTTCTTTGGCAATAACCGTTTTGTTTAATTTATAGCTTTTCAGAGCCGTCTTTGTCTGCATCCTCTCTAGCCACCGATCTCTTTTTGTGGCCCTAACTTTCTTCTTAACTGAGACCTGCTCTTCCGTAACTCCACTATAGCCTAAAAACTTTCCTCTTAATTTCCTAGTGCGCTGGCTCCACTTTGTGTCTTTACTTCTCATGTATAAATAGCTGAAAACCTTTCGTGCCCATTGCGCTCCATCCATTTGCCTCAACCGATCCTCAAATTCTATCCTGCTCACAGCTTCCCTGCTCTCAAACGACGCCCATCCCATGTCGCCTTGTACTCCCTGGTTTGGCGTTTTGCAATGTGCCCCCAAAGCCATCCTACCTACTCCGCGCGGTTTTATTTCTAATCTTGCATCCACTTCGGATTTCATGCATAGCACTGCGTTTCCAAAAATCAAGCCAGGAACCATGACCCCTTTCCAAATCTCTCTCACCACCTCATACCTGTTGTAATTCCAAAGTGCTCTATTTTTCATTACAGCTGCATTTCTGTTGCCCTTACCTATTATATACTATTCATGCTCACTGAGATATTCTGCAGCATCACATATCCATACTCCTAGATACTTGCATTTACTAGCTCTCTCAACTGTAATATTCTGTATCTTCAGCCTCTCAACTTCATCATCGTTAAAAATCATGACTGCTGATTTTTCACTACTGAATTCTAAACATAATTCCTCTCCTTCCCTACCACAGATGCTCATTAATTCCTGCAACTCTGTCGTGTTGTTAGCCATTAGTACGATATCATCCGCATACATCAATCCCGGAAAGGATTGCTGAATTTTTTGACCTAGCTTACTGTATGAAAAGTGGAATCCAAGCCCATTCTTCTCTAGTCTATCCTCCAATCCTCTCAGATACAACATAAACAGCAAAGGCGATAACGGGCACCCCTGCCTAAGGCCTCGTCATATATATTTTCCCCGTTGCCTTTCCTTCCCATGTTATAATCACGTTATTATATTTGTAAATGTTCCTTAATATTGCTGTTAGTACTTCATCTAGGTTCAAGCTCCCCACTATGTCCCACAGGTTCCTTTGGTTCAGATTGTCATAGGCACCTTTGATATCCAGAAATGCCAGCCAGAGCTGTCTGTTTTCTTTTTGCGCTGTTTCTATACACTGTGTTAGAGAAAATATATTGTCTTCCAACCTTCTTTGTTTCCGAAACCCGTTCTGTAACTCGCCCAGTATGCCCTCGCAATCTACTTATTCCTCCAGTCTGTTCTTTATAATCTGCATTACCAACCTGTAAATAACTGGTGTCATAGTTACGGGACGATAATTCCTAATATCAGACATCTCCCTTTCCCTTATATATCATACTCATCCTCCTAAGCCTCCATTCATCTGGAATATTTCCTTGTGTTATCATAGTGCTCACTACCTCCCTTAGTTTTGCCTTAGATTTAGGACCCAAATTCCTCACCAGCTTGATTGGGATACCATCTGTCCCAGTAAACGTACCACTAGGGACTCTTCGTTCCGCCTTTTCCCATTCTCTTTGACCAAAATCCGCGATGTCACAAGCTGGACTGCTGCTTCCTTCGGCTCTCCTATCTTCCACATATACCCGTTCCCGAAATTTCTCCTCCATCACTCCTCGACTACGAAACTATCGCAGACACTGGAAGGCGCCGTCGGACGAGGAGATAGACTTATCCTCGGTCAACGGCGCCGTCTGGTGTCTTCGAGAGTTTCGAGGTAATCGATCTTTGATACTCATTTTAATATACAAATCAGCCACGCGTGCATGTAATATGTTTGGTTTTATTGATTTTTAGAGCCCATAGATCGAGTTAGGAACATAACTATCGCGGAAAGTGGCTTAGTTCCCCATTTAATGTGTCGGTGAATACATTGTCTAGTATACATCAATACTAACGCCCAAACACATTCTGTAATATATTTCCTTTTCTCGGTACGAACAAGGGGGCGTGCATCTCTTTGTAGGGTGTGGTGAATCTGTCCTCCGGCATACCGGAGAGGATGAAGGCGATTCCCCCGGCGAATGTGAGCACTCGACCCCTGCGAAAGAGGTGTCCCAAGAAGCAGAGCAGTTCTCCGACGAGCAGCACCAGGGCGCTGATCAGGATGAAGGCCGACGCCCGCTTCACCGCGTCTGAGAGGAAAAAAAAGCAAAGTGAGAAAGGTGGGGACATGGTCATCGAATAGTCACACTTTCGCACTCCTAATTTGTTGAGAATAAGAGTGTATTCTTGAGCCACTGAGGGGATGAAAACTACAGGGAGTAGTTTCGCACGATGAAAAATCGCCCACAAAGAGACAAGGACAAAAGAGGAAGGAACACAGACAGGCAGTATAGGTTCAACTGTCTGTCCTCAAGCACGAGCTTCCTGCCTTCGATAACACTTGGGCGTCACGTGACTTTTGACCAGGGCTGCCAACCCGAGGGAAATTTCCCAGGTTAAGGGATTATTCAGGTCTATTTTTGGCAATAAGCGAGATCCTGCCAGTTGGAGGGAAATTTTGGGCATCGTATATATCTGGAATTTTATAGGTCAATAATGATTTTATTTCGAGAACAAAATATCAAACTTTAGCGGCTTTGACTACGTTTAGGCTATTCTTCCCAACCGTTTGACGGTTTGTTGTGCGACCATCTGAAAAAACTGAGGAGCACTCGAACAACGTTCTTCGGCAAAATCAATTTTCATCCGTTTTCATCGTCACCGTGAAAGGTATGGAGGAAGGGATCAGCCAAGTGGAAGCTACTAAGAGCCCCGCTGTGCATTTTTGAAAAAGAAAGCACGAGTACAGGAATAAATACTGCAATGTCTCGAAAAAAAGACTTACCATGACTAATAATATTTCGTGAAGCGCCGTGCACGAAATGGTAGTTACTGTGTGTCGTGTTTCCTGTGGTCGAGTTCGAAAACTCTCGCGTGTGTTACACTTTTTGTTTTGAACTGACTATTAAAAATCGCTGTTAAAGTTATTAAGCAGTGCCATGTGCTGATGGCGTGCATTACATACAAGGTGAAGATAGGGTTTCATTCGTCAGTTAGAATCTCACGGTAACACTTCTCCTCGCCAGATTTGCTTTGGCCGCGGTTTTGTCCTGATGAACTCATTTTTGTGAAACGTACACGCGACGCCTAAGGGCTACATGATATGCTCATCATCATAAAAATGGCAGTGATGCAAACAAAACAACGAATATTTAGTATTATGTAATTATTTGGGTAAGCGAGGGAAATTTTGGCAAAAATAGGGAAATTTCAGGCGTTCCCTAGGGAAATTCTGACTTTCCGTGTTGGCAGCCCTGCTCTTATCGTAAAAATGGAAGTGATGCAAACAAAATAACGAATTTTTAATGTAGTATTGTGTAATTATTTGGGTAAGCAAGGGAAAGTTTGGCAGAAATAGGGAAATGTCAGGAGTTCGCTAGGGAAATTCGGACTTTCCGTGTCGGCAGCCCTGCTTTTGACCGTGTACGCGCAGACAAAGAGCGTCGGAAGGCATTCTCATCGCGTCATTGGCTGCAATACATGTTGTAACGGAACCCTCATTTCTAAGGGAGGTTGTAAAGCTGCTCGCACAAATGATAAAGTCCTACAGTGCACGCAATGCATTATGGGACTTCAGAAGACTAGAATGCATTATGGGCATATAGGACATTATAGTATTATAGGATTGGAGGTAGGTGGGGAGGAACCGGGGAGATGCATGGGGATGACATCCTGATAGCAACCTCGCCTAGGGTTATCATTGAGGTGTTGCTAGGAGGGGGGAAATGAGGGGGGATAAAAAGAGGGGGAGAAAAAGAGGAAGAAGGGAGGAAAGGGATGAGGAGAGAAAATGAGGGGGAAGGGAAGAGAGGTATGGGCTGTGGGAATTAACGTGTTTCGTGACGTATATTTTCCCGCTAAATTTAGCGGGGAAACTGAATGGTTGTACAGGTCACGTGACGTCGGGGCACGCGACGTAAATTTCCCCCGCCAAATTTTGCGGGGAAGCTGGATTGGTATCTAGGTCACAAGTCTGAATCTTCCCGCTAAATTTAGCGGGTAACTGAATTGGTGTATAGTTAATGAGACGGCAATTTCCCGCTAAATTTAGCGAGGAAACTGGATTGGCGCTGAGGTCACGTCACGTCACTTTTCCCGCTAAATTTAGCGGGGAAACGGAGTTGATGTATAGGACACGTGCCGTCAATTTTCGCAAGGTGTATAGGTCACGTGACGTCACCTGAAGCCACTTTTCCCGCTAAATTTAGCGGAAAACGCACGGGCGGACGGACGGACGGATGGACGAATTGACGGACACAATTTTGGGACTGGGAGTAGGGTTCAAAAGCAGGCTTTAAAAGGTGGAGTCGTCGTTTATTTTATATAAGATCTGAAACCACATTGTCAACATTCAGCGATTTCGAGCTTTTTAATAAAGAAATATAAAACGGATTTGCACGAAGACAGCCTTGCGCATGCCCGAACGCTACTGATCAAGAGATGCAACGAGTCAAGAGATTCAACACGTCAAGAGATCAGCCAGTCACGTAACAACCAAGTGAAACTATCCACCGAGTCAAAAATTCCAAGTAGATTGAAGGGATCAAATCAAAAGATCCAACGCGTCAAGAGATCCAATAGGGATGAAGAGACACGGTATGCGTCAAGAGGTCCAACGAGTCAAGGGATCCAAGTGGCGAGTCAAAGAGGTTCAACGAGTCAGGAGATTCAGCGAGTCAAGAAATCCACTAGGTACTTTTAACTCTTCTTATCCCACGACTCAGGATCGTGACCGGAATGGTGTAGAAAACACTGAATGTGGAGCGACAACGAACCTTTTGTACAAGTTTGGGAGTCAATTTTAGTAATATCATACAGCACACGCCTGTTTACAAGCAGACGCGCAAGGTCTCGATCGCGTCGTTTTGCAAGTAAACTCTCATACCAAACATTACACAAAAGTTAAGGTGTTTCTAAAAGATTTGCCTAACCTAACAAAGCATAAAATATGTCCGAAGCAACTAAAGGGCGGTGAACAAACATTTCTTCGCTGATATTTCTCTAGCAAATATTTGCATACCTTCAAGTCAAATTAAATTGTGGATAAGGCACTTTTCGCTGCCATGTGGGCTGATGCTAATTCCTCGCGCAGTTTGAAACCACCGACTGGAGACGCTCAAGCCCTTTCTTGTTGGGGTTAATGTACTAACCATATCGCACTTGGAATCGAAACTAAACGAAGGCCCTGCTCGGTAATCTGGGCCCGGAATAAAGACCCAACGATGCATAGGCCGGTGGCTTTGTTTTGTTGGGGAGTGAATAAAAAAAAGTCCTAATAAAAATGACAGCTTTGTTATAATGACTCCAATTAGACACGTTCCAAAATCTTTTCAAATGTGTAAACAATTTAAACTAACCCGATTAATGACGTTATCAGCACTAATCGATTTTATTCTAAATGTTTACGTTGATTTAGATACAATACTAGCCACCTCGGTGGGTTTGAGGCGAGAGCGCCGGCCTACGGATCCCCATGTGGCGGGTTCGAATCCCGGCCGAGGTGCCCGCAATCTGACGGAGGCTTATTGCGGAGCAGGCGCCGTGTAACCGAGCTTTCGGTTGCACGTCAAAAGATCACCAGGTGGTCGAAGTTAATCCTCAGTCCCCCGCTGGGGCGTGCCAAATGCCCATCGTTGGTTTGGCACGTAAAGCCCTACATTTTTTTTTAGATACAATACTAGGCTAGAATTGCTTGTTTGCATCCAGGGTGTTAACCGATTCGTGCTCAGCCACGTGAAAGGTAGGAAAACACTAGAAGTATACCAAATGTTAGCTTTGCAACATAAATAAACAAATAGTTTTCCTAGAATGAATAAATGTGAAAGGAATGAGCCGTCGAAGTACTCCATTTAACTGATTGTCAGGACAGCAATGGGGATGCTTCTATCATAACGCGAGAGCTTCTCACGCACTTAGTCTGATCACTTACCGGTGAACAGCTAAAAAAATCTACGCAGTTTGCGAAATAATGTTTTTCACAAGCACTACCACAGAAGGCACAAATCCATCCGTAATAAAGGAATTAAAGACAACTAAAGTTAGAAGTTTTCATGTTCATATTCTAAATCTAATCGAAGTCTTGGATATATATCGATGGAAGTCTTCCTTCTTCATCAAGCACTATCCCGCAGCAACGTGTCTACAGTTTGACAGATTAATAAACGCCGAACGTGGCAAGTCATGAACATCTTATTATTGCACCGCGACCATTGAGGTCCAAGAAAGCCGAAAAAGAAATCAGGAAGAAATAAGGTTAACATAATAAGTCATATACTGTGTTTATTAAAATGTCAGATACTCTCATTATTACTTTCTTGAGAAATGTCAAAAGGTGAGCGAGCTCACGCTACAAAACGAAGAGCAACCGAAATGCGCGGGGACCAATGGGAACAAAAATTCCGCAGGCGGGATGACCCTAGTCTGCATGATGGCCGAGAGAGGGTGCCAGAGTTCCGTCGCGTGCGTGGTGTGCTCCCCGTGCGCGTTTTCCCTGCAACAGAGCAGACCGTCGGAATGGTGTCTGCTTTTTGAAGACAAAACCTAATTCTGTTGATTTTTATTGCTCTGAAAGCTGGGAGATTTTAGTTTAAAGCTGACCTTGATCCATTTATTGACCAATTTTTGTAGAGAGACAAAATTTACTTTCGTTTCGTCATAACAATCTGCATGGAAGTCCCTACCTAATCGTGTTGTCAACAAAATAAATAAACAAGTTATGCAAACTATTGCAATCTAGCAGTTGTTTTTATTACATAGCGATTACTCGAAAAACTAAAACATTGGGATACTTTTAAATATTTTTTTTTCATTATTTTCTACATTAAAAAAAGCAGCTGCGAAACCCGTGAAACTTAAATTTTCGCTTTCCTTACGAAGTTTATTTAGAGGATATTAGCCACGTGATCATTCGAATTCATAAACGGTGTATAACCATAGTGGAGCTATAGTGTAAAAGTACACTGAAAAATTAAGTATTTTAGAATGATATTTCTGTTTTTGAGATGTTGGCAATGTCTGTGCGGTACCAGTATCTCATTCATCTAGCCTCTAGGATCAAAAGTAATAAACGAAGGTCAGTGATATTACTCTT